CCAAAGCGATTGTCCCCTAGGGGGGGGGGGCTACAAGGAGAGTGTGGGGGTTAAACCCTAGTGGAGCCAGTTTGGCTAGGAAAGGTTAATTTGGCCCAGGAAGGCTGTACCCAAGTATTGGGTGATGAGATAACCATTGGGAAGTCCAAGGCTAAAGTGAATATGAACTAACAAGCGAGGTAGCTTGGTGAAGTATTCAAAAGTCGACTCTAGTTTCCCCGAGAGATCGAATGGTCAATGCTCCCAATCCAAGTATGGGTGGCATTACCTACTTGGATACCTAGCGTGGCTCAATGAAACCTCGCTCTAAACCCATGGCTAAAACACCCAAAGGCTGTAAAAGGGATATTGGGAAGGCTATTCCCCATGTTTGTGGGCATTCTAAGGATGCTGAATCTAAGATGATCACTCATGGATGGATGCCCCAGTCTTTGAGAGACAGGACTGTGATGTAGGTGGTGTTGGACCACTGGTGTCACCAAGGTGAATGGGTATGGCCTTAGAGTAATGGGTTGATATGTCAATGATACTTTGGGGCGTCGGTCATGGGATCAGACACATGGAGCACTTGGACCCAGTGCAATGGTTGAGTGGCATAGATGCCATTCTCGGGGCTAGCAAGCCCCACATCCTAAATTGGACTTATAGAGGTTGTGAATGAGACTCCTCCAAGTGGTCAGAGGTGTGGTTAAGTGACTAAAGTAGAATAAAAAAATTAGTCATTTACAAGTTGGAGGTAAAATTATAAAACTTACGCATTGATCTTTTGGTAGGACAAGATAAATCTGTTGACATCCAAAGGTCCCCTTGCATAGACATGCCGACTGGAACGTTGATATGGTAGATGGGATCATTGAGAAAATGATCTTTGATACACTTCATCCAAGCCTTATATTAGTGGTTACTATCAATAGTTTGGAATATTGTCCTCACAAGTTGTTGAGCCTTAGGATGTCTGATAAGCATGTTATCAAATTTCAGGGATTTCCTCCTCTAAATAGGATCCTAGCTATTCACAATCTAACTGTGTGATAGTAATGATCTCCATTGTTCCTAACTTGCAAATCGAGACTAGAAACATACTGATATTTATCGCATGGCCATTCTGTTTGAACAAACTGTATATATTCGAATTGACATACTTTGATGTAGTGCGAACAAAGTTCGTCTGCTGCAAACGACAAAGGGGGATCTCTTTGATCAAGTCACAAGGGCCTAGCCACTTGAGCGCCTCAAGTATTTGGTGAACTGCTTTTTCCCTTGTTTGCATAACAATCTCTTGGAAGTGCTTGTCCACCACGTTGTTAGGAAGGTCTACAACTCTTTCAGCTCCAAGTTGTACTTTAGGTTCCCTATTGTGAACACCACTAGATTGCCCAACTTCAGGGATTTGTGCTGGTGGTGGGCTAGTGAGGAGTAAAGTGGAGGTAGTAATGGTGATGGTGGGGGTTGGTGGTGGTGGTGGTGGAGGTGGAGGCAATAGTGGCAGTGGTGGTAACAATGGCGATGATGGAGGTGGTGATGGTGGTGGTGGAAGTGGCAATGGCGATGGTGGAGGTGGTGATGGTGGAGGTGATGGTGGTGGAGGCGGTGGATCTCTAAGTAAATGTGTTTTCATTAATGTGCCAATAGATATGTCGATCGTGATGTTGTCAGCAGTGTTGAATTGAACTTTTCGTGTCTTCTTGGCTCCAACAACCTTTTTGTGTGGTACAATTTTTCTTTTTTGCAAGAGGAAAAATTTTGTTAGTCAAACTAAATTAAGATAATAAGAAATTCAAATAGTCAAAGAGAAAAAAAAACTCAAGTGGGCCCAAACCTCACCTCAAGCACTTTGGCCACCCGAGGTGGCCGGCCTGGGCTCATCCTCAAGCACTTTGGCTGCCCAAGGGGCTGAGGTTGTTTGAATAACCTTAGCCCCTTGGGCAACCAAAGTGCCCAAAGTGGCTAGCTTGGGGTTGACCTCAGGCACTTTGGCTGCTCGACAGGCCGAGGTTATTTGAATAACCTTAGCCCCTTGGGCAGCCAAAGTGCCCGAAGTGGCCAACCTGGGCTTGACCTCAGGCACTTTGGCTGCTTGACAGGCCGAGGTTATTTGAATAACCTCAGCCCCTCGGGCAGCCAAAGTGCCCGAGGTGGCTGGCCCAGGCTCAACCTCAAGCACTTTGGTTGTCCGAGGGGCTAAGGTAATTCAAATAACCTCGGCCCCTCGGGTGACCAAAGTGCTCGAGGTGGCTGGCCCTGAAGAAACAATCAAGAAAGAAGCAAAAATAAAGAAATAGAAGTGAAAGCAATCAAATCAAAACTCACCCTTGGTGGCATCTTTCCCTCCCGATATCTCGATCATGCTAGATTTCTCACACTCTCTCACTCTCAATCTCAACTCGTGTTCATACTGGTGCGCTCCATCTCTTGCACTCTCCCGCACTCAATCTCTCGCACTCGTGCGCTCCACGCTCAATCTCTCAATCTCCTGTGTGCTCAATCACTCGATCTATTGCATGCTCAATCCCTCGATCTCCTTCCCACTCAATCCCTCGATCTCTTGTGCGCTCCACTTATGGTGCAATGGCAGCTACCCTAATCCTAATCATGATAGCTGCCCTAACCCTAACCAATCTTTCATCCCAGCTGTTCATTCCAAATAACCTAAATCTCAACCATCACAATATCTTCGATCTTATTTTATCTTATCATTATTATTATATGTGAATTATGCTTTTTTATTTTGTATATTTTAATGATGATATAACTAGCACCTATCAACATTTCTATTATTAGAGATATGATTTTTTTTTACAAATTATCTACAAAGGATGCATTCTCATCAATATTTTGTACATATTTTGGAATCGTTACAAGAACTTTAAAGAGTATAAATAAGGCACATTAAAATATGTTGTACGATATCCATCTATGAATGGATGAATCCTCATCCAGAAATTTATTTTATGTTGTATTAGATCCTAAACAATAGGCACGTGCTTTAAATGTCATTGAGTAGTGTTCACAATTATGGATAAAACTTGAGTTGTACTACGAATCAAATCTGTCATTGAAAAATAAGATTTAACAAGATTTATTATCATCTACCACTTAAAATTTGACAACTTGACATATCATGTATACTGACAGTCAAATTAGATCTCTTGGTTTGACATGCTATAGCAAAATATCATGACTAGTATCATTATTAACTATCAAACTTCACGTCTTGAAAATCCTTCCTTGGATCTATGTGTATAACATGCATCAGATATCATAATAGATAACAGTAATATTAATATTGTCACACTTGCACATGTTAAATTTGCTATAGAATTTAAATTCATTTTGTACATTGTTGATATTTTTCTTATTGCTTTATTTAAATTTCAATTATGTTTCACTATAGATTTTTACAAGTAGCATAAAGAGAGAAAACTCTAAAATCTATTAAAAAGGATGGAGAGGTTTCTTCTTCATTTTCGAGATCACCCACCTCTTTCATTCTCTTAGAATATTATTTCTAAAAGTTTGTTATGTCAACATTTTAATCTTTGTCTTGGCTCTATTTCTTTAAAGGTTGTGATTCACAATAGCACCAGTATAGTTGCATATTCAGAGTTTCTTCTTTTGGGTGTAAGTAAGGGTGGATAACAATAGGATTTACAGAATTCTAAGTTAAAGGAGATTCAAATTTTTGGATCTTCAATCAAAGTGCCCAAATGTGCTCTAGCTAAAGTGAATGTGAAGCAAAAGTTAGTCATTATTCTCTCGTCCTCTTTTAGTTCAAGTGGAGAAGTCATGTTAGTGTCAGCGCCGAATTCACTTGACGTGCACTTATTTTTGTATAGGCTTGTGAGCGAATTTCTATCCTTCTATAACAATATTTTCTTCGCGCTACCACCTCTTGTCAACAGCACCGGCTCCAAATGGAAGGGGATAGAAACCAAATAGTATATCCACAATTGGTGCAATATCAAGACCACACATTTTCAACATTTTGAAGGCACAATGTTTACTTGCCAAATAAGAGGAATCTTTGCATAGGATCAATAAACCTCCTTAAATGGAATGATCTAAAAAGAAACAGTTGAATTAGGCTATAAAATCTCAAATTCACAAATACTAAAACTAACAACATATATTTGACTAAGACGTACACCATCTATAAGTATATATTTCTTGGCTCACCTTTTAATAGGACAATGTACTCAACAATTTTGAATGCTAAGAAATTTTGTAAATTTTGTTCAATTGATAAACTTGCCTATACTAGTACCAAAATTCTATGAGGCTAAAGGTGTTAATTCTATTCTCATTGAGCTTAATAAATGGCACTATACACATGTCCCAGAAATACAAGAACTATGAGAAGCCTTGCTGATACTAGTGTTCAATTTTCTGGAGATCAACACAATATTACTTTTTATCTTGATGTGGTCAAAGTGATGCCCATGCTATTTTAGTGCCTCTCCTTGTCAAAGAATCTAAGATGCACTGGTTCTAGCATAAAAAATATGGAAGTAGAAATGTCGCATACACTTTGAGATTGCTTGCTGATCCTCTATCCCACCTCTTATTGGTTATGGACAAGATCAGGCTTTTTTCACATTAAAGCCTTCCTTTCTTAATAATGTTATGAAAGATCAGTAGTCCAGTGGTGCCTTGGTTCGAGCTATGCAAAAGAATATTTGTGATAGTTACTCATTTTATACCCTAGATAGCAATTGAAAGTTCGTGGCATTTGGTGCGGTGACAACTGGGACGCTTCCAGACAGAACAGAAAGTGGTAGTTCTGCACCATCAAGCTCCTGCTGCTCTCACTAGCAATAATCAAGAGGCACGAGAGATTTAGTTCTCCTGTGGCAGATCAATGCGGGGGTGATCCTAGGGAACTGTAATCACCCCTTTGGCGCTTGTCAAAAGCCTCGACCACGCTCTGACAGTGAGGGTGGCGTCCTCCTTCGCATAAACCTTTCATGTAGACACCATGGAAGTCTGGCTAGTAAATATCCTTGATGCGTCTCAAGAATCGGGGTGATTTTTGGGTGCTAAAATCGGGAGGAGTATCAAGCTCGGGCAGGACGGCAGTCTCTCCGAGAAAAAGCGGGCTTGTTTGATTCCCCCAAACCCACCAGGCACATGGAGAACTTCGTCCACTTGAGCTGCCTGAGGATGGAATTGCCTGTTCGTGACAGGAATGGATGGTGAATGTGTGGCGTCGATGCTCCAAGCACAGCCCTGAACCTGGAAAGATCACACCGAAAGCTTACAAAGTCTACTTCTCTGGAAGTTCATACCTCTCAACCTTGGTCCCTGAAAACGTATCCCGCCGCCAGGGCGCCAAACACAAGGTCAGCGTCGAGAAAGCTACACTGCGAGGAGGAGGAGGAGCGACTGCGATCGATCATGTCTTGTCAATGGAATCAGACGAGACAAGAGAATCAGCTGCCAGGGCTGGAGCCGCCGCTGCGCCGATAGGCCAGGAAATGGATTATCACAGCCGCCGCAGTCTCCAGCTTGCCCACGTCAATCTGCGCAACTCCAGCGTCGCGATGCCAGAGCATCCGCATTGATGATCGACGATGATTCAGTATTTGGTATTTACAAATATCGGGAAGAGAATCGAACCCGAAACGTTTGTTTTGGGAGACCGATGTCCTAAATGACTGGTCTAAGCTGTTTTTGTGAGCCGGCGAACCAGAATAATGGCTCCTTATTTAGGAAAATTTTTGCATAAAAGTCCTTGTTGAGTGGACCCTTCGGCATCGAACCCGGGTCTTCTACAACGGTTTACCTCTACACTTACCTGATAGCCATCATCTCGGCAACCGGGTTCCCGTAATAATAAAATCATACCATGTACTTGAACCATATGACAGGGGTCTTTGCGAAATCCATGGCGTTTTTGTTAGATCGCCCACCAGACGAGATTATTCCCCGCATTCGTGCTGCTCGGCGTTTCGTCCTTGGCAAAGCCCCCTCTTGGGTTCTGAATCGATCATCGTGGTAATGGATCGTCAAGAGTTATGGCCTGGGTTGCAATAGAAACTCGCAGAGCAATCTCCACAGCCGCAGGAGCTTTGCGATCTTCTGCTGGTGTGAATCTCATCAGTCCCAAAACTCCACGTTTCGGCAATCCAACGAAACCTGTAGCGTGTGGCCATTCAAACGAGCATACCTCGGTATCATCCTCGGCTGCCTCGATGCCTGGAGAGTAACAGTCCCGGGAAGAACCATCATTTGCCCGAAACGAAATCACGATGGATCCCCTTGCATTCCCGCTGCCAGCCAAGTACCAGCTTGTGTAGAACTGAGCCCGAGCCGGAGACCAATCCACCGGGGCTGTCCAAGTGATGCCGAGATCAAGCTCGCTGTGTGTGCCAGCAAAAGAGAGCCTGAGGAGGACACAAACACCCGACTTGGAGCAGGGCTGAGACTGAAAACACGACTGTCCGCGAAGTTGATGCCTGTTTCTTCGCTGAGATCTCCAGCCAAGTGCTTCGCCAAGCTCTCCTCCAGCTCCAGATAGACACTACTTGTAGTTGCAAGCGGGCACTTGCCTACCAGCTTTGAGCCAAACATGCTGGAGAGTCTCCAGTCTTGCAGCTTTCGGAAAACAACCTGCTCCAATGTCGTGCCTTCTTCGTCCCGATCGAAGTCACCGGAAGTGATAAGCAGCCTCTGGGAATGGTACATACCACTGTAAATCGTCTGCCTGTCCAGGAGCGTCGTGAGCCCAGCCTTGTCTCTACATGGGAGAAGCGTGAGCCATGGCGTGAGCCGTGGCGTTCTACAGAGTGCTTCTCTCGGGAGTGCTCGCTCTTGCTCCATTTCTTTCCTTTCACCACCCTCTTCATGCCAGGAGCGTCGAAAGCTCCTCCTCCTCCTGTCCGGTTTGCCTCGGGCCTCGACGAGAACCAATTCGAGGAAGTTGATCGATGCGCAAAAGAGGCCCGAGAGAGCAGCTCGCCGCCAAGCCAGTGGGAGTGGAGCTCACGGCATTTCCAGAGGTGGACGTCGACGTCCAGCCAACGACGTGGGCTGCGCGATCGGATCGCCCACGCCCCAGCGCTCGTTGTTCCATCGCCCTTGCCATTTCTTTGATTCGAAACTTCCGGACCTGTTCCAAGCGATTCTTTCATCATCGTTTCGGGATTTGAGGACTTACGAGCTGGAAGATCGACAAAAGAAAGGGCAAAAGGAGGATAGGGTTCGATTTTACCTCTCAAAAGCTTGGAGTAAGAGTTCGCACCCTTGGAGGCATGGAGGGCAATGAGATCACTCTTCTGAAGGCCATGGGTGTTTGCACTGTGCTGGGAGATTCTCTCCAAGGGCAAGTAAATCTGTGCTTGAATTCTTTCTAGTAGTTGAGTTTATATGTATGGAAAGTGTGGGCTCATTGAGATGCATTTGATTGAGCAGGATGAAACACGATGATCAGTGTGTACGTGTTGCATGAGTGTGGTAAGCAAGCAATCCACCTCTATGCATACTTATGTCTAGAAGGGACAAAATGGGTTGATGTTTTGCCAGGTAGCAATTTTGTCTCTACCCAGGTTGTTCTTATTAGCATGTATATTGAGTGCAATAGTCTTGAAGTTCAAGTATCTTTTAGTGGAGTTTTGAGCCTTGGACAATTGTCATTTAGCACATATAGTTGGCATGGAAAGTTGCAATATACATTTGTGATAGAGCAAAATGCACTAGGAAGGCTTGAGATAAAAATGTGATGAATGATGGGATAAAGTGAAAGTGATAGATCCAGAAAACAATTGAGAACTCACCAAGAAATCATAAAAGCTCATATATGAAAAAAGTTGATGCAACCTTGTGGCTGAAATCCAAGCTGGAACCCATGCACCAAGGTAGTAAAACCTGAAGACAAAAGAGAAGAGGTGAAAGAAAATGGGGAAAAAAGAAAAAAAAAAAAAAAGTCATTACATAGTGGCGATGATTATGAGCATGTGGAAGCTCATGGCCAATTTTATTGGCGAGCACATATGAACCACCCTCCACTTAGCACTAGATGAAGTAGAGGCTAAGCCACTGTGAAGAAAATTTGGAGGACAAAGTGAACTTTTTGAGAAGAACAAGTTGTTCAGGAGAAAAGATGATTAAACTAGGAACTTTGGAGTCAATGTCTGCCTTGGTTTGCTCAATTGAAGCCCTACATTGCTCGTCAAGGGCAAGGATCTTCATGTCACGAGCATGAAGCTTGTCCATGTTGGAAAGTTGGAAGTTTGTAGTATGGCACAAAGATAGCGCAAGCAATAATACTTGGAAATCTATGAAAGTACAAGTAGTCTAATCAAATAAAGAGGCTGGGCTACTCTCACTCATAATTGTTGTTCCCACTCCAAAGGTCACGGACACCATAGAATGCACGTGCTTCATTGGAGTACCATGATGAAGGCTCTAAGACTAAGCTGCAATTGAGAGGAGATCCTCCACATAAGGTCCACGCTTGAAAAGAAATGATGTCATCAGAAGAGCCTCTACTAGGAAGATTGGCGACTCTTGAAGTTGGCCATCACTCTGATCAAACTAATTGTGAAAGCCTGTGTAAATAGTATTGCACTGGAACATGTTGAACTCAGGCTGTGATGGATCTTCGATCAACTCAAGAAAGATAACAATCAGCGAGTGGGGAAAAGGTGTCAAGGAAGATAATATTGGCTCGAAGGATATTGATTGGCTTTGAGATAGTCCTGGAGGCTATTCTTGAAGCTTTCCCAACAAAGAGTGTCCACAAGCATTATAGAAACAAGAAGTTCAGTGATTGTCGCTAATCTCTATTATGCCGAGTGACCAATTTGTGATGCCTCAAACCTAATCATGCCAAACTTGTCCAATGATGAGGGAGTCCTTCAAAGGTGTGGAGCTGAACTTTTGGTAGTTTACCACCACAAAGTTCAAAAAAGATTCCACCCCATTAATGTAAACTCGAACACTACATCAAATGCCCGTGGGGATAACAATGTAGTTTGCAAACATCTTTAGGATCAGAGTTGTGCTTCTAGAGACTTGAAAACCTGCTCTTGTGGCTGAAGTGATCACATTGCTCCCAAATCCAAAATTGACAAAAGCATTGATGATGGGAGAACTATCGCCAAAGCCTATAGGTGCAAAAATTGCATCTAGATTAGAAGAGGAGGCTATGTCAATGATGTGCACATCCAATAGGAAAGAGGCTATGGCGTTAGTAGACCTTGTAAAGTCTTTTAGATGCTATCTAAAGCTAGGAATCATACATGAAAGCTCACACCACAAAAAGGTGACAAATGTTTCCATCAATTGTTGAAGTGCACACTCCAAGTCCCTACCAAAGAAAGGTGCAAGATATCTGGGAAGGAGAGGCGTGAATGGGAGTTTGCATGCCACCTTTAGTGTTGGATTAGTGATTGCTGAAGGAGTTGGATTGCCATCAATTTTCTCTTGATTAGTTGTTTTCTTCTTTTGTGCTCATGTGGCTATTGTCTTTGCAAACTCTTCCTTGGGATCCTGATTGCATTGAGTTGTCCCATTAGAGATTTTCCTTTGTTGGAAGATGACGAAGGTACATCCTCGATTGCATGCTGCTCAAGCTGTTGTTAGTAGTGATCCTTCACTTGTGTTATAGTGCTATTATCAGTGAATGGTTGCTCTTGGACACATTGAAAACGTGGTTGTCACAACTCTAGATAAAGCTTCCAACACCTCTCTATAGTGTGAGTTGTGATGTTGCAATGGGAGCAATACTGTAAGCGACTAAGGTTTCCATTTTACTTTAGTCATTTAACCGCACCTCCGACCACTTGGAGGAGTCTCATTCACAACCTCCATAAGTCCCAGTTAGGACTTGGGGCTTGCTAGCCCCGAGAATAGCATCCATGCCACTTAACCTTTGCACTTGGTCCAAGTGCTCCACGTGTCTGATCAGGCACCACCGACATGTCGGCCTGTTACATTAAGGCCATGCCCATTCACCTTGGTCACACCGGTGGTCTAATGCCACTTGCATTATAGTCCCGTCTCTCAAAGACTGGGCCATCCGTCCGTGAGTGATCATCCCAGATTTACTCCTTAACATCCTTAGGATGCCCGCAGACATGGGGAATAGCCTTCCCCGACAACTCTTTTCCAGTCCCCACCAAGTCCCTTTCTGTCCATGGCCATGTTCGCCATTGAGGAAGGGCAGAATGAGTAGAGTATAGACCTTTGATCAAACGATCATAAGCTAGAGCTTTCTCCAGGAAGAAGGTCAAAGGTCAAAGCGATCAGTCCTTATGAACACTGCCACTAGATCAAGGCTCGCAGGCTCGACCTCTAAATCCCACTATCCTTTGGGATTTCTTCACCATGTGACCGTATCCTTGGTCACTGCACTAGAGGACTGCTCCTCTTCCCTTTCACCGTTTGGGACTTTGGGACAACATTTCGGAACACCGTGGCCTTACGCAAGCCTCATGGGTACTCTCCCTACCTTTCGCCTTTAAGTGCTCTAGCCATGGGCTTAGAGTTAGGTTCCGTTGAGCCACGCTAGGTATCCAAGTAGGTAGTGCCACCCACACTTGGATTGGGAGCATCGGCCAGTCGATCTCCCGGGGGAACTATAGCTGGCTCTTGAACACTTCACCAAGCTACCCCACTTATCGGTCTGCGTTCACTCTAGTCTTGGACTTCCCAGTGGGCAGCTCATCACCCAACACTGGGTATAGCCTTCCTGGGCCAAATTGGCCTTTCCTAGCCCAACTGGCTCCACTGCAGTCCTCCCCCTTAATATACTTTTGGAGCTCACCAAACCCCCCAGGGTCTGGGAGACGAACACTTTGGGCTTTCACCCTCTCAGACTCGAACTCGGACTTGGACTCGGACTTGGACTTGGAGTTAGACTTGGACTCAAACTCAGACTCGGGCTCGGGCTCGGTCTCGGCCTCTGTCTCGGTCTCGGTCCCGATCTCGGTCTTGGTCTTGGTCCCGGTCTCGGTCTCGACTTCAGACTCCATCTCGGGTCCATCTCGGACTCCATCTCGGGTCCATCTCGGACTCCATCTCGGGTCCATCTCGGACTCCATCTCGGGTCCATCTCGGACTCCATCTCGGATCCATCTCGGACTCCATCTCGGATCCATCTCGGACTCCATCTCGAACTCCATCTCGGGTCCATCTCGGACTCCACCTCGGACTCCATCTCGGACTCCATCTCGGGTCCATCTCGGACTCCATCTCGGGTCCATCTCATACTCCATCTCGGACTCCATCTGGGACTCCATCTCGGACTCCATCTCGAACTCCATCTCGGGTCCATCTCGGACTCCATGTCGTGTCCATCTCGGACTCTTCCACGTGTCATGTTTTGGTCCTCTTGTGTCTCCTTTTCTAGAGACTCACTCATGGCTCGCCTTGTGCTTTTTCCTCGAGCACTTCGTTGGGAGTTCCACTCCCGCTCTTGACTTTTCAAGTCGGAGCTTTTGGTCCAAACATGTTATGCTTGTTTGGCTTTCGCTTCGGCCACTACCATGTGGCACCCTTTCGGCTCCACTTTGGGGCCTATGGATTTTGTGTCTCACAACTCCACCACCCATAGACGAAGTTTGATGTCCTCATTGAACGATGAACCAATTGATAAAGTAATACCAACATGTATTACCCTTCCCATCCTTGGCACCTAGCTAATATTTGTCTATGGTTTGACACCAAAGGCTCACCATGCCTTGTCCATCCTCTAAGGGGCATAGCCTTTCCAACTTAGAGGTTCATTCAACCATTTGTGGTGGTTCTCTCCTTTTATTGGTTTAGTTCTCGCTAAACCTGTTAGAGACACCTTTTCTAACTCAATCCCACTACTCATTCTCGAGTGGTCTCACTTTCCATCGATATAACCCTTGCACTTTGGAACTTTTAATTCTGACTTCTCGAAGTCAATTTCTTAGGTGTCTCCGACACTTTGCATTGCACATATTGTGCAACTCCACTTCCCCATCCTAGGAAGTTCTCTACTTGAGGGCAACATCATCCTCTCTTCGATTTTTTGCCACCTTTGGCACTAGGTTTCAGTTATCGTAATTCGTGCTATGGTTGTCCATGGCCCTATCATTTGGCTACTTTACCACTCCATCCCTTGGAGCTTCCACCTTCACCAAATCGGAGCAATTGGGAACCTATCTTTGATGCTCTATTTCGTTAAAGTGGGATTTATTCAGTAAAATGGGACTAGGTA